TCGTATTGGACAGGTTATTTCTTTCTTCCTCCTTTGGTTAACGTCAGCCCTCACGCGGCCGCCTTTCCAATGCCAGTGTTAAGAGTCAAGATTACTACTTCAAGTCAAGATCACTGCTTCAGCCATCTTCCCTGCATCTTCACTTTTTCTGCGTCGGCTAGTTTCCATCACGTGACGCCGGTGACTGTGAAGCTTGTATGAGCACGAACAATTCAAACTAGAGATTTTTCTAGTTCATGAACCAATTTGAATTGTGATTTATTATTGACTTAATAATTTTTTTAGTTAAAATTTATAAATAAATTTAATCTTTGAGTTTAACAATTTATTCTTAAATTTCAATATTTAAAGTTTAATCGGTTAAAAATTTAGCTCTCATTAATTATTTAAAAGAATTTTTTATCCCTCATAATTCTTCATGTTCATAAAAAATATATAAATTTTTAAAAATTTAAATTTAAATAATTAGTAATAATTGATCTTAATACTAATATATTATACTCATTTATAATTTATTTTTATTGATATAAGATTGAAATGTTACATTTTATTAAAAAAAATTATTATTAAACTATTTAAATTGTTAAGTGATTTATATGATTGATTTAAAATTTAACATTTTATATATATCTAAGCAAACATGAAGTCAAGCTTATATAATCCTAAATTTTTGGGTTTAACTGTGAATTATAAGATAAGATAAACAATGAATTTAAATTCTCCGGCGGTGGAAGTGTAGAACTATTATGTCACTAGGTTTTCATTAAAAATATTGATACCAAAAGTTACTCAAGTATGAATTGGTCTCATAATTATAAATTGATAGGAAAAACATGTTTACACGAGATTGTGATAAGTATTAATTACATGTGCAAATTATTCTAACTGGGCAATTGGGATTGAGGTCCACCAATCCAGAAAATTGAATGTGTAGGTAAAAGTCACCATCTTAATTAAGATGGTCATTTTGCATATGTAAATAATGTCATTGACCTGGTCATTACATTAAAAAAAAAAAAAAAAAAAGACCTCCAACAAACGAAGTTTCATTTTTGTTTTCAGTCTTTTTCATGCCTCCTGTCTCGACAGTTACATCCCTCCTAGCTAGCTCGACGACTTTCCTTAACACCTTCATATAACAATAGAGGTAATGTTTTAACTTTAATATTAATCGTCATTATTCTTTCTTCAATTCTTTAAGAGTACTCTAATGATTTTACTACATTTTTTTATATATATTAAGGTTTTTAATTAAAATTTAT